TTCACAGTAGCAAAAAAGGTAATATGTTCTAACTCTATTTCTTTTTGAAAATACTTGTCGGTAAACTTTTCTTTATTTTTATACTTTCCAAAAAGTTCGAGCAATTCCTTTTGAATTTTTGGGTCTTCGGCTTTTTCTAATTCATCAAGTAAAATAACCGGATTTTTGCAGCCAGTTTTTTTAATGACCCACGCCACTAAACTTGGCTTATTTTCATCCCCTAAAATTGAGTATTCACTAGTTTCTTGAAAGCCAGATAGGGATATTGTTTCACATTCCCGACCCATTGCCTTCGCCAAAGTTTTTACAAAAGTCGTTTTACCCATACCGGGAGCACTAAAATAACAAATTACCTCCTTGGCCGGCCAGAAACTTCCATTCGTCATTTTGTAGACCTTAATATGGTTGAGAAAAGTTTCTTTTTCTTCTGCAAATCCAATATGTTCGTCTAATTTCTTTTCTGCTTCCTCAACACTATCCGTAATTTTCAAGTTATTAAGGGCAGTTTCTAATTCTTTTTTTTCTTGATCTTTATTATTAGTATTCATATTATTATGTAAATTTTAATTTTTATTTAGTTCGTTCAATAAATCAAGGAGTAATTATGGCAATCGTTAAACCAGTTATTAACAAAATTATTCACAATAACCAAGTCTTTTTGTAATATTCCTTTTTTGATACTTTAACGGCCTGTAAGGAAGCGTCGCGATTAGGATTAGAATGGCCTAAATTAGTAGCAATAAAACGTGCCATGATAGTTAAATAAAATCCATAAAGCAGGGTTCTTCGGGAAATGCTGGCTAAAATTTTAGTTAGTGGTTGAATTAGATAACCAACAAAGCCGAGAACAATAGTTAAAACGAAAAATATCACGAATAAGACCGGAAGAACGTAGAAGCGAGCATAAGGAGAATCGACTTTTAGAAGTTTATCGAAAGCAATATCTATTTTCATAGCACTTAATATATTAAAAGTAGTAGCAATCAGAACTCAACTAACCATAAGGGGAACAATCTTTATAATTGATTTGGTTAAAGTTTTAATAATCTCTAAGGAGCTCAGCAAACAAATAGTTATTGCTCCAATTGTATATCAATAAGTTAATTGTCGAGATTCTCATTTACCAAATTTTCCTCAATAACTCTCCTTTTTTTTCTTGACTTCGGCTATCTCCATCTCACCTTTTCCCCCCTTTCCGATTTCTACTTTACCTAATTCAGTATATTTATTTTCTTGATTTAAATCTTCATTCGTTATTAATTTATAATTTTCTTTCTCTTCGGCAGTTAATTCTTTTTTATTTTCCCTAGCAAAATAACTAATCGACCCCAAAACTCCAATTAAAACAAAGAAGAAAGTTAAAAACAGGACCAGTTTTCGTTTTAAGTTGAAAAGTGGTGCTTTCTCGGGCTTTTTTTCCGAAATTTTTTGAAGGTTTTGGGAAGACTTGCGAGAGATTTTATTACAGTATCAAACATTAAACAAGACCACAATAGTAGTAAAGATAATTCAGCAAAAGATACTAAAAGGTAAAGCATCGGTCGCCGTAAATTTAGTGCTTCCAGAATGCTCATTAACATAGTAATTTAAAAGGTCGGTTCTAGCAGTTAAATTAATAAAAACTAAGGACCCAGCCACGTATCCACCATAAAGACAAAGAAAAGGAGAAAAAACATCAAATCCCATGGCTAAGAAAAGCGGAAGTAGCAAGGGGTAAAAATGAATGAGTTCATTTTCTCAGCCAACCACCGCCGATAAAAAAGAGGCGACGAGGGTAATCATAACTACCGTGGTAAATCTTCTTTTTTGTAACCATTTTTTCTTGGAAGCCAATAATGACTGAACGGCTTGACTCTTAAAGAGGGCGTAAGTAAAAAAGGCCATGGCAATCATCAAATATCCTGAGCCGCCTTTTTTGAAAGAAAACATATCTTCCAGAGATTTTCAAATCATTGGCAGGACATCCGCCAAGCCAACTTTATTAGCACAAAAATTAGAAAAGATTCACCGACCCGAAAGATTAGAGATAGCCGCTAATAAAAAAAATGCGATTATAAGTATAAGAAAAAACATAAAGTTTGATATTAATTAAGAGTTATTTTTAAAAAAAGTATTTTAGTTAGAAGTTGTAAAGTTAAAAAGTTTAATTCTTGCCACCTAAAAGTGGCTTATTTTGGTTGAAAGAATAATTTGTTGGCCAAGTTGACCACTGAATTGGAAAAAAAATATTACCCCGCTGGTTAAAGTTAACTATTTTTTTGATTTTGAATAATATTTCTTGACAATTCATATTTAATATATTTTATAATTTTATTTTATAGTTGAGAACAATTCAATTAAAGTTTTTACCAGGACCCCGGTTCCCCGTTTAGTTTTGGATTTATTGGCGGTTCCGGCAATATCACAGTGAATAAAAGGTAATTTTTCGACAAACTCTTGTAAAAAGGCCGCTCCGTTGGAGGCTCCCATGTAGCGACTACTGCTTATGTTGCTGAGGTCGGCAATGGTCGTATTTTCTTTCAAGTTTTTTGTGTTTTCCGCAGTTATTGGCAACTCTCAATATCTTTCTTGTGATTTAGTAAAGGCTTGGCGTAGTGCTCGGTAAAATTTTCGGTCATTGGTTAAAACCCCCGTTAAATTTTCCCCTAATGCGGCTACTACGGCTCCCGTTAGAGTAGCCACGGTGATAATTTTGCTTACTTTTTCTTTTTCAATCGCATAAGTAATTCCATCGGCTAAAACTAAACGACCTTCGGCATCAGTGTTATTAATTTCTACGGTCTTACCACTCATGGAGGTTATAACTGATTCGGTAAGGGTAGCGTGTCCTCCAATCGCATTTTCGGTCAAGCAAGCCACCGCTACCACATTTATTTTCGGTTTTTTTTGAGCCAAGGCCAAAAAAGACGCACATACGACCGCTGCTCCGGACATGTCAAACTTCATACACTGTAAATAGTTGGAAGGTTTTAAATCATAACCACCGCTATCAAAAGTTATCCCTTTTCCTATTAATCCAAGCACATTTTTTTTATCTTTCTTATCACCAATATAACGCAAAATTACTACTCGTGGTTCATGATGACTACCAGCATTGACAGCTAATAATAAACCCATTTTGTTCTTTTCAATTTGTTTTTTATCTAAGATTTCT